AAAGATTTCTTGAAGTTCCTTAAAAATGAAACATTCTCTTCATTATCACTGCTGAGGCCGAAGAGCATCTTCAAATATGTTCGTGGTATTTTTCTCGCAGAAAAAGCTATCAAGTTACAAGTAAATAGTGAAGTAAGCAAAAATTGAAAACCAGTCAGTGGACATGATTCATGAGAAAATGAGACGAAGTCATCGAAGAAGATGAATGGTTTCCTCAGTAGTTCTCTCCTAACATTAGCAGTATTGCAAGCAAGGTGTCAACGAATCAAGAAAATGATGCATGTTTACCATCAAAAGTGTGTTCGTTCGCTCGCTTGTAATTTATTATTAGAAAAACGTCGTTTTTACGAGTTGGACAGAATCGAAAAGCAGTGTATTGTTATACATCAAATCGACCGCTTGAGCATTACCAGTATATGGCAAATTGAATTGTCATTGTGTTCGACATGAAGCACATTAAAGCCGTAAGGTGTATTGTTCAAAAAAAGGGTAATCACCTCGTCAATTGCAGATTTACAATAAACATGCACAAACACTGTTGCACAAATTTGAGCGTATGACCGATGGTGAATATCATAATATATTTCAAACAATCTCTTTATGTACCATCGATGTGATATGCGAGGCAGCCTTAGGCACTCACGTAGACGCGCAAAATAAGCAGTCACCATACTTGGAGGCTGTCAAAAAGTATTCATTTCTGCTATAACTTTTATTTTTTTTTGGTTTTATTTCACACAAAATAGAAACTTTTATGATTTCACAAAATAGAAACTTTAGTTTACAGAAAAACTTGATTTCTGCAACCCTCTTTGATTTTTGATAATCTTTGCAGTTTTTTCCGAGAAATTCTGAAATTTTGTTACGTCACAAATGATTTTTTTTCAGAATTTTTCGTATGAGTGTTTTATAAAGTTGAAAAAATTGCACCTTGCCCAACTCGAAAATGTAATTCATTGCGTAGTGTCAGCTGAATGCTCTAGCATGTATTCTAGTTGCCTGAATTGTTGTATTAAATTCAAAATGTTCACTTCAGGATGAAATATATTGTACATCAACGGACAATCAAACCACAATTCTATCCACGGTTCCTTTTTGATCTTTTTGGAGAAGGACAAAATGAGAAAAAATGTGTCAAAGAACTGCATGAGTTCACACGAAAGGTATCAACAGATTCAATTGCTGCAACGAATTCTCTGCAATTTTTCCCGAGTTCTTCCGTTTATTTTTCAAATTCTTCTGTGGACTTGCTATGTCTCAGAGTTCCTGCATCACCGCTAAAACTTCTTCTCACCTTCAGTACGTTCCAAAGAGTGAAGCGACTGTGAAAGATCTGAAATAGCAACCTTATTATATATGTGTTTTCCAAATTAGAATTTTTGCCGTGACTATTGATGACATGTGCAATTGGTACGTCGCGGGTTCGATTCCCGTTCGCGGAGGAAAGTTTTGCTTGAAACCGAGTGGTGTACCAATAGCATTAATGTTGTGAGCCTGAGCCAGGCTATGATCCGGCTTGTATCTATTATCCAATTATCTGTTATTATTCCTTATGTTATCGTGATCGCGGGTAGATCAGTTCGCTCTGATTGTAGCGTTTGACGCTCATCAGATCAGTTTCGCATTATGTGCACTGAAGAACTGATTGCGATCTTAACGCAACCACTCGGCAAAGACTGAACGGTCTCCGCGGTAGCTCAGAGGTAGAGCCCCAACCGGTAATTGGTACGTCGTGGGTTCGATTCCCGTTCGCGGAGGATTATTTCGCTTGAATCCGAGTGGTGTACCAATATCATTGACATGTGCAATATTTCATAAAAAACTTAAAGTTACCATTTGAAGGCAATAATGGATCGTAAAAAACTGGCTGATGAAGCAGGTGGTGTCGAAAAACTTCTCGCCAAAGAGGAAGAATCAGGTTTGTGAGCAATGTTTAAACATCAATCATTCCCGTTTAGCACATCATTGTCATCAAGTTGAGTGTCTTCAATAACCGATTTGATGACAGGTAAGCGACGTATGGCGTTGTTGGATTTAATGTTGGACATGCACGCGAAAGGTGATATTCCCCTGGAGGGTGTTCAGGAGGAAGTGGACACGTTCACATTCGAGGTCATTTCATGTTATAAAACGTCGTTTCATCGAAACTCTTATATTTGCGCTCCTCTCTCAACAGTATTCATGAGGATTCGTTTCAATTCGGGGTCAGTCTGGAGAATGGAGAACCTAATTGCAGGGTCATGACACAACATC